TATAGTTTTTAGTCCATCTTGGAGAGAATTGTATTTCTTCGTTTTTATTGTGAGCCGCCCAGAGTCACCCGTGGGGGAGATGGGCGGCATACAATCAATCAATCAATCAATCAATCAATCAATACATACATACATACATACTGTTAGTTGTTTTCCCCCGGCTGCTATTTATGTTATTTATGATTCTGTTATATTGTTGTTATTCTGTTTTTAAACATGTTAGCCTCCCAAAACTCTGCACTTGAGATGGGAGACCATATACATTCAATAAATAAACAAACCAGCTTCTGGAAAGAAGTCTAAAGAAACATCATTTCATTTCTGTAGGTTCCAGCATGATCCATCATTTCCTCTACCCCTTTCATGCAGATGGCTAACATTCATGCCCCCATCAGCAGTTAGCTCAGTGGGAGGAAATTGGTGGTCCTCCAACTGGGGCAGAGTTCCCATCAGCTCTAGGTGGCCACCTGGATGGCCAAGAGGCTCCTACCCATTAAGTTTTAATAGAGACTGGGAAGACAAAGACAGAATCTGGTTTGACACACATTAAACCATCATATGCTTGTTTAGATTTGGCTTACAATGTCATACAAACCTAGCTGTTGTGTTTAGTAAACGATGGCTTCTGACCTAGGCTGATGTGCAAACCCACCCAATTGTGACTTACTCAGAAATCATCAAACCAGCATTGAATACAATGTGTGAATATAGTCAATGAGTAAAGTCAAGAGGGATGAAATGTGAATCAAAGGAGCAAATTCTCTAGAGAATAAGATTCATGACTATAAAATACCCTGAATGTAACAGTAAATGCAGAGAGCGCTTTATGAAAAATCAGAAAGAAGGCAAAAGAAAGGAAGCGTGAAACTGAGGAATAGCTGCCAAATGATTATGTCTTTAAAGGGCAAGGAAATATATATGTTCACCTGTTCATGCTTGCTATTAAAGGCACAGGAGCTGGGACTGGTAAAAAAAAAAAATGATTAATCACTGGGAAGGAAGAAGTAAGAAACATTTTCCAGTGAAGGAAAATGCAAGACAATGCCAACAACTTATGTTCAAAGTGCAAAGAGAGAGAGGCACCCCACCCTGTTCAGAAAACAACTCCCAAACAAGAGAGATCTGGCTGGGGAATTCTGGGAGTTGAAGTCCACACATCTTAAAGTTGCCCTGGTGAAACTGAAAGTCCATCTCCTCCTACCTTCTTGTGTCCACCCTGCTGTTCAATTACATTTCTAGAAACTGATGACCACCACTACTTAAAGGTCTACTGGCTTTGCTTTGGGAGGGTGGGAGATCGATTTTTCATCCTTATGGTCAACTGCCAGGATTAGATCTCTCGATGCAAAAACCTTGTTTCTTCCTGCTGAAACATCATTTGCCCTCTCTTCCTCAGCTTATCCGTGTGAGTGTTCTCTCTCCTCTTCCCAACTGTCTTTCAGCAAACATCTGAGCGATGATGAAAACAGGGTCACCTTTGGGAAATGCAATCACACCCATGGACACAACTATAAAGGTGCAGAGCATGCTTGAGCACACCCTTCTGCAAGGGAACGGGGCAGAGGGCTTGGGAGACGTCCCTGACATCTTAGGTTTTGGTGGGCATGAATCTCTGAATCCGTTTCCCTGGCGGGGAGAGGAGATTCAGGCTTGGGAAGTGGTCATTCACTGGTTAATCTTTGGCTACAGCCTGTTTTCTCAACGTTTGCTTCCACCTTGAGGTACAGAAGCAGGGTTGCAGCTGAGTTAATAACTTGGATGTCCTTTCTTTCCTTTTCCTTCTCCACAACACAGTGACGGTGACTATATGTGGAAAGGTTAGTAGCATCTTTATATTTCTCTACGCTTTCGGAGCGCAATGCTTAAGGATGGGCAGCAGCTGCCCAAGGATCTATCTCATTGGGTAAAGACAGTGCTGCTGGATTGGGCCCAGTTTCCTTCAGTTCGGCCTTTTTCAAGCCCGGTATCCATGGGCTGTCTTAGATTACGGTTCCCACAGCTTAATTCAATTTTCTAGTTCCAGCCTATGGAGGCTCCACCACACCCTCTCTTCTGGACGCTCAGAGCGGCATCATCATCGCACCAGAGGAAGTGTGCCTGAAGGTTCAAGTGGGTTCCTCTAGGTCAGTGCTGTTGCGCCCCTCCTTATCTCTCCACTTTTTCCAGGTATGTACTGCTCTTCATCTCCCCCTACCTCAGCCCGCCCCCAATGGGCGGC